GCGCACCTTGACAATGGTATCAATTAGCAGCGGGCTGCATCGGCCGGCACCGCCAGGCGGCCAGCCAGTGGCGATCACGTCCCGGCGTCCCACGTCCCCGCCAGGACGCGGCCAGGACGCGGTCAGGAGGTCGCTGTGAAGGTGATCCCGGAGCGGGCGGTGGCTGCGGCCACTCCAGAGAGGCGGGGAGGGACGCGGCGGGGCGGGGCGATCTCCAGACGCCGTGTCGGTGCGGGCGCGGACGGTATGGGGGTCACCTTCCCGTTAAGCAGGCCGGCATCGTCGCGGGCCTCGTTCGGCGCCACCTTGGGTACCACCTTCGGTATCGCCTTTGAGACCACCTTCAGCAGCACCTTCAGCACTACCTTAAGGAGCCTCGGCACCACCTTAAGAGCACCTTCGGCAGCACCTTAAGGAGCAACTTCGGCACCACACCTTTAACAGGAGTCTCCAGGTCGGCCGCCGGCCGTGCCTCCGCGCGGGGAGCCGATGCAGACCGAAATGAAAATCGCGATTTCTCGCAAACGGCTGGCCCAAAAAATTTCAAACTTGGTAGAGAGACTGCTAATAGACCAGGCCCGCCTCCGGTCGGGTCAAATCCGGTCCGACATTGCCTGTTTGCCTACTGGCGTGATCGGCTCGAAAAACGGAGACCGCCGTATCTCGGCTCCTGGGCACGATATCGAAAATCGGGCTTCTCGGCGTTGTAGTCCAACTCGTTCCCTGCCGCCTCTCCAAATTTCAAGTCAAAATCTTGAACGGTGTGGCCGTAATTTGGGAAACGCCGAGACGAAAAACGCGACTTTTCGGCGACTGGCGTGGCGAAGGCAGGCTGGAGGCAGGCAAACAGGCCTGATCAAGGGACCGGCCCCCGAAGTGCCCCCGCCACACCTCCCCCCGCCCCGCCCGCCCTGCACTGCACTGCCAGACTGCCATTGTAATGCGCCCGGCCGTCTGGGGCTCGCTAGTGACCCTGTATGTAAAGAGACCAGCGAGTGCGGCTCCGGATTTGGCTCGGCTCGCCGTGGCCCGGCCATGGCGAGAAGAGAATTCACGAAAATGGCGGACTCGCCCTCCGTCGCCCCTAACCTCAAACTACTGTCTTTCGATATTCCAGCCGTTTTTAACGACAGGCGACCATAACATGTGGGCTTGACAAGTTAGGGAAGCGATTATTTTAGTATCCAAATATTCTGGGTCTTCAATTTCAAAGGATATGAAACTTCAAAGTCGCTGTATGGAGTGGGCATAGGCGGGAGTTTTTGAAAACGTGCAAGCAAGGCTGCCAACCTGTATAGACAAAGTAACGTGCGAGGGATGTAAAAGTACTCTTTAGGAATAAAAGGAGGCCAACGTAAATGTTTAAAATTCACATAAGCTTGAAATTTGATCAAAAATAGGTATTTATTTCAATTTCCTGTTTATTTTTACGTTTCTTTGAATATTGGTGTGTTGCTGCTTCCGAATTCACGTAAATGGCGGCCCCCAGCTTCACGTGACCGCGCTAGACCAACCAGCGTTGGCCCCCCCACTCGCCGGTCTCTTTCTATCCAGGGTCACTAGGGCTCGCGCCTGCCTGGCTGCCGGGGTGCATCCACGCTACCTGCTCTAGCAGTGTCTCCGTCGCACTTGCAGTGACAGACGGCACAGACAAAGAAAGTAGCTGTCGACGTCTGGGATGGCTATGCGGACGCCACCTTTGGCTCCGGCGAAGAGGCGCGGTGCGGGCCCAGCCGATTCCGAGCCAGCCGGCGGCAAGGCAGAAAAGTTCATCAGAAACTGGCTCAAAATGACACGTTTTTCAACATTGGTACCAATATGCGTTTCGAAGCGCGCTGATCAATTCTATACCCATGAAAATTGTTAAATGATTTATTGTCAAAATTGTCCTAGCAATTTCTCGTTTACACGCAACTTCCTAGTTTTTCGAGCTGATTCCGCCACCATCCGTAAAATATCAACTTTCCGAAAATTTCAAAATTTTACATCCGCTCCAAGTTCCTTTTGTTTGGCGATGGCAATATACCTGCTCGAGGGTCGGAGCCAGGCATGTGACCCCGCCTGCCCAGCCCAACCCAGCCCCATTCAGGCCAAACAAAAGAGATTTGGAGCGGATGTAAAATTTTGAAATTTTCGGAAAGTTGATATTTTACGGATGGTGGCGGAATCAGCTCGAAAAACTAGGAAGTTGCGTGTAAACGAGAAATTGCTAGGACAATTTTGACAATAAATCATTTAACAATTTTCATGGGTATAGAATTGATCAGCGCGCTTCGAAACGCATATTGGTACCAATGTTGAAAAACGTGTCATTTTGAGCCAGTTTCTGATGAACTTTTCTGCCTTGCCGCCGGCTGGCTCGGAATCGGCTGGGACCGCACCGCGCCTCTTCGCGGAGCCAAAGGTGGCGTCCGCATAGCCATCCAGACGTCGACAGCTACTTTCTTTGTCTGTGCCGTCTGTCACTGCAAGTGCGACGGAGACACTGCTAGAGCAGGTAGCGTGGATGCACCCCGGCAGCCAGGCAGGCGCGAGCCCCAGACGGCCGGGCGCATTACAATGGCAGTCTGGCAGTGCAGTGCAGGGCGGGCGGGGCGGGGGAGGTGTGGCGGGGGCACTTCGGGGGCCGGTCCCTTGATCAGGCCTGTTTGCCTGCCTCCAGCCTGCCTTCGCCACGCCAGTCGCCGAAAAGTCGCGTTTTTCGTCTCGGCGTTTCCCAAATTACGGCCACACCGTTCAGGATTTTGACTTGAAATTTGGAGAGGCGGCTGGGAACGAGTTGGACTACAACGCCGAGAAGCCCGATTTTCGATATCGTACCCAGGAGCCGAGATACGGCGGTCTCCGTTTTTCGAGCCGATCACGCCATTAGGCAAACAGGCAATGTCGGACCGGATTTGACCGGACCGGGGGCGGGCCTGGTCTATTCCTAGTCTCTGTACCAAGTTTGAAATTTTTTGGCCAAGCCGTTTTCGAGAAATTGCGATTTTCGTTTCGGTCTGCATCGGCTCCGCGCGCCGAGGCACGGCCGGCGCCCGACCTGGAGTCTCCTGTTAAGGGCACCTTCGGTACCACCTTTAAGAGCACCTTCAGCACCACCTTAAGGAGCACCTTCAGGGGCACTTTCGGCAGCACCTTAAGGGGCACTTTCGGCAGCACCTTAAGGAGCACCTTCGGCAGCACCTGATGGAGCACCTTCGGCACCACACCTTTAAGAGCACCTCCGGTACCACCTTTAAGAGCACCTTCGGCACCACCTTAAGGAGCACCTTCGGCGCCACACCTTTAAGAGCACCTTCAGCACCACCTTTAAGGGCACCCTCAGCACCACCTTAAACGGCCCCACCTTCGGAGCACCTTCAGGGAGCACCTTCAGGACCACCTTCAGGACCACCTTCAGCACCACCTTCAGGGAGCACCTTCAGCACCACCTTCAGGAAGCACCTTCAGCACCACCTTCAGGGAGCACCTTCAGCACCACCTTCAGGACCACCTTCAGCACCACCTTCAGGGAGCACCTTCAGCACCACCTTCAGGGAGCACCTTCAGCACCACCTTCAGGGAGCACCTTCAGCACCACCTTCAGGACCACCTTCAGCACCACCTTCAGGGAGCACCTTCGGCGCCACCTTGGCCACCACGCGCGGCGATAAGGCGCATTAAACAAGCGCGGCGATGACGTTGACGGCGACGGCAGGAAGTACCCGCGGCGGCGCGGAGGAAGCAGCATGGCGCGGCGCGGCGGCGCGGCGGAACACACAGTCGGCCTGTTACGTGGCGCCGAGTTTCACACTCTCAAGGCGTCCAAACGTTACGTCACGGCGCGGACGCCGCGGCGCTGGCGCTAGCGCCGGCCGTTTCGGCGGCGCCACGCATTTGCATTGACGTCACAAAAGAAAGTCTAATTACAGTTTTTAGCCCCCAAAAATTTGAACTATACTCTGACCAGAAAACGAAGAGCCCTGAGTTCTCGCGGTTTATGGTATCTGCCGACTTGGCTAGCATTGCAGGCAGCCCTCGACCGCGAGGCGAGGACCCAGGACTCTTCGTTTTCTGGTCAGAGAATAAAAGTCGATTTGTTGATGATTTTTTCCCCGAAAGGAGGCAGTGCGTGCACGTTGCACGTGACGGGCCACACGCCACGAGAAGACATTCAAATGACTTTCGTACATGCATGCCGTCTTTAGCTCTTCGGGCTGTCATGCCATGCCAAAGTGCACGGTCGCTGCGCTGGTAGAATTCCGCCGTTCCACGAACGCTTCGCCCCGCCGCGCCGCGCATCCCATCGTCAGCAGTCAGTCGCACAGTGGGCCAGAAGACCGGTGGAGGCGGCCTAAACTCTGGACGCATTTTGAGCTCCTCCAGTGTCGCTAAACAAGACTCGAATCGAACGTGTGACCCCACCAATACATTGCTCTCCGACCGAGGAATCCATTGGTGGGGTCACACGTTCGGTTCGAGTCCTGTTTAGCGACTTTGGGGCTCAAAACGCGTCTCGAGTTTTGACCGCCTCCACCGGTCTTCTGGCCCACTGTGAGTCGGCAGTGGGGGTCATATTCAAGACACACGGCCCGCGACGCGCCTAGCCGCGCCTATAGGCAAGGCATTGGCTACGCTCGCTGTGGGCTTTCGGTCGACCTTCGCGGGCCGTGCCGTCCGCCCGTCCCGTCAGCCCGCGCACCAAGTAGTTTGACTTTCCCGCGCCCTCTGTGCGACACGACGCGGCGGAGGGGAGGGGGGGGGGAAGGTGGCACTCGGCGGATAACGACGAAGGCCAGGGTTGCCACTGCTGTGGAGGGTTAAAAAAAGTGAAAAAGTGACTCCAACACCTCAAAAAAAGTGACAAAAAAGTGGCATTTTTTGATAAAAAGTGACATAATAGTGACTTTTGGCAAAGTGAAAACCCCCACAAAGTGATAAAAAACGTAATATTTTTGCACTGTTTTGGAGCTTAGGAGTGGTATTCACACAATAAAAAGCAAAAGACTCACAAAAGCAGGTCAAGGTCAAATGTATTTATTTAAAAAAACAGAAGTCATATTGGTATTATAGAATTGAAATAAAATACTGTTACAACATAAATCAAACAATCACAAGATTTTCACAGATAGAGATCCGGATCGTCGGGATCTGCAACCTCCCTCTCCCTCCCTCCAGCGGCAGGAGGGTCCTTCTTCCTTTTAGCTTGGAACATCTTCTCAATCAAACTGGAGGTCCGCTTCGTCACTTTTTTTTGAAGCGGCTCGTTTTGTCTCTGAAGCCCGATAGCCTTCTCACGCATTATTTTAGCTCCTTCTAGCATACCATGAGCCACTTTTGCAGCCGCGAAATCTTTTTTCTTCAGAGCTGTGTCCAGCTTGCTAGTGGCCTCTTCAACCAGTTCGTCAGCAGCTTTCCGCTGGTCTTTCTCGGCGCTTAGGGATTTTTGTAGCTTTTCTTGGAGGCTTTCTATTGTTGAACGATCTTCTCTTTGTTGCTTCTCCTCCTTCTCTCTCCGAAGTCGCTCCGCCTCTGCCTCTTCAGCCACTTTCCTTGCGGCCTCTTCTTCATCGCGCTTGGCTTGAAGGTGATCGGTGTAGCTTCGGTGTGCACGGTATCCCGCAGCCAGGAGTTCCTTCGTTATTGGCACGAGGTCCGGCCTGCCACCATACGGTTTCAGCCCATCTTTCACCCACAGCTTAGCATTGAACAGGCGCTCCTCCATCCGGGTCTGTTCCGGTCGCAACTGTTGTGAGGACTCGTTGAAACCCCTCTCAATATCGGCGCTTCCATGGGCAATCGGCAAAGTAGCCTTTACAAGCTTAACAGTGTTGGGAAATTTCGGCTTCCCATCCGACCCCACAATGTCAAAAATCTTCGCCCAGTAGTGGTCGATTCTTGTCGTGGGCTCAAAAACAGGAAGATTTTCAAGCTGCAGAAGCCTCCACTCATCCTTTAGCACATCTTCATCCACACCCAAGTCAAGTCGCAACATTCTGTGCACCAAGACAATGCTGCGCGGGCTGGACTGCTCCTTGATTTGACTAGGTTGGAGGCACTTGAGGTGTTTTCCATCAGGCCATTTACTGAGGACAGACTTCTGAAGCAGATGGGTTGCCGCTGCTTGGTAATGTTTTTGACTATTAAGTCTAAACTTCAGAACATCTACATCCTTACACTGAGTCAAAAGTGACTTTGCCCTATCCCCACATTCCACATCACTCAAAGCAACTAAATTGTCTTTGTTCTTAATAAACTCTTCTTTAAGACAGCTTCTGCTAGTTGAAACAAGAGAGGGTTTACAAAAACGCCCCAGAAGCAAAACAAATAGAGAAAGTAGCTCATCATACAGAATGTGAATCATTGGTTCACTTTTTTGGAACAGTTTTGAATACCCTTCAAAAAGCTTAGCTGATTGAATAACAAATGCTACACTAGCCTGCATAGTAGGATCTTTGAGACAACCAGCAATGAATTTGTACCTTTGGGTCTCTCTAATTTTTTTGTGACTATCAGAGTTACTCTTAGGGATGACAGTCAAGAAAAAGTGAACCACAGCTGGCCATTGCTCCAAGAGCCTCTCGGCAGCCCCAGAAAGAGTAAGCCACCTACTGGTCACATGTTTTATAAAGACATGATCGGGAACCTTAGTTTCTAACTGGGATTTTTTGTACTCTTCCACTCTGCTAGGAAATCCATCAAAATATTCATAAATGGCAATGACTAGATGACTAACCTCCTCCCCAAACACCTCAAGCCCAGACAAGAATGAATTATGAAGAATGTGCACATTACAAGATCCAGCATCCATTAGACCCTTTCCCCTTACTTCCTTAACTTTTTCACTAACTAGTCTAAACACTGTCTTGTTCACATTAGGTCCATCCATTGACAACATCAGAAATTTTTGTAGACAAAGGCAGGCTCTTTCCAATACCTGTAATAAGTGATCAGACACAATTACTCCTGTAGCAGATCCTATGAAAAGAGACTCTAAGTGATGAAAAACAATATGCTTTACTTCTTCAGACCAAAACCTAAGTCCACACTGAAGTTCTTTCACTTTTTTGTTGTTGACAGTTTCATCAAAGCACATTGTAAAGCTAGGGGCTTTCTGAGCATCATCAAGCATTTTTTTGTGAAAATATGGCCCTAGTGCATCAGTAATTAAATAAGATACCTTAGTCCTACCTAATGACATGTCTTTGGGTACTTTATCACAACCGAACATACTTTTAAACAATTCGACTATATTATCACAGGAATTATTTGAATAAGCAGCCTGGACACACTTCATTGCCCATTGAAGTTCTGCAGTTAAAGCTGCATCTTTCCTCGAGACAAGCTGCAGAAGTGGACCGCTGTCTTCGCGTTGAACGGTTCCTGGCGGCGGCACGACCCCCAATCCAGCAGCTTCACCAGGAGGCGCTGCTGCAGGAGTTACCACCGCATCATCTCGATGATGATTGGGAATTGGAATTGCAGCCTGTTGTTGTACCTGACAAAAAAAACACAGCAATTAACACTAACATCAACTTTAAAATTATGTAACATGATTCAAAATAATAATTATATATTTAAAGTACCTTTGGTGGAGCTCCAGCCAATGTAAGTTGCAAGGGACTTAATTTAGTTTTGGCATTTCCTTTATGTTTTTCAGATGAGGCGTGCTGGGATAGTGCTTGGAATCCTTTGGCAGATGTGCTTATGGGTGATGGGCAGATCTTGCAGAAAAATATGTCTTTTTCTTTCCAACTGCACCACTCGCTGATCAGGTGCCCATTCACGTCCGTCCGACCCATCCATCCTTCACGTGTACTATGCTTCGGCATAGCGTCACATGAGCTGCAACATAAAAACAAATGCTAAAGAATGCGAAAAAAATGTGCCTATTTCAAATAGAATTGAAAGTGCCGCGCAACCAACGCCCATCCATACGTAGCCAGCAGACCGATTCCGAGAGTCACTTTCGCGACTCTATCCCTCTCGCACTCACGGGGCGTCCCGTATGGGTGCGAGAGAGACAATGCGACGAAAACGACTCTCGGAATCAGTCTGCAGGCGCACGACGCACACGACGCGCAGGCACCGGGCAGGCGAGGGAATGTTTCGTCGCTCTGTCTCTCTCGCTCCCCGAGTGTGACAGAGACAGAGCGACAAAGCGAAGCCGAGGCCAGGCCGGCGGAGCCGGGACCCGAATCGCTCCCGAAGCAGGTGTCGGCTGAGCCGAGCCGGCCGACGGACGAACGGCACGGACCCGCCCCCCGCCCCCTATGTCGTACCCGACAAAGCCCATTATGAATTGAGAGATTGATCTCTCTAAACATAAAACTTCACAGAAGACATGTTAAGACTCGAATTGTTTAGCTTCTGTCATTACACATCGTGCCACAGCGACATAGATTTAAGTAACAGGGCGGCGACGTGTTGAGGTTATAACCTCACACTAGCCGCCGAAGCGCTCACGGATTGAACATTATCTACGCTAACCGATGACGGCTCATCATCAAATGGATGGGAACGTGCACTTCTATTGATAAAAGAGGCAGTCACGAGTAATACTTACGTGGAACTTGGAGGATAAGAGTTGTGGCACCGCACCAGCCCCACTCGCCGCGTCGACTCGCACGCACAACAAACAAGTCACCGCCTTCGCTGGCACCCGCTACGTTCCGCTCCCGCCTCGACTCCGACTCGATACATCGGTCGGACCAACGACAGCGGGAAATTTAAACGCATCCTCGCAGAAAATCGAGATATTGACCGAATTTCGACGCGTTTCGTGGTTAAATGAGGAAAATACCACCCGAAAGCTCCAAAATAGTGACAAAAGTGACAAAATTCCCCAAATAGTGCCAAAAGTGACTCAATTTCAAAAAAGTGACAAAAAGTGACAAAAGTGACTCACTGGCAACCCTGACGAAGGCGGCACGACGCCTAGGAAAGGACGCACACCGCGACGCCCGATCCAAACTTCGCGGGAGGGAGGGGAGGTCACCGCGAAGGCACTAGGGCCAGGCGCGGATCCAGCAGCGACAGCGACTGATTCCGAGAGTCGTCTTCGTCGCTCTGTCTTTCTCGCGGCCATGAGGACGCCCCATGAGTGCGACGGGGACGGGAGACAGAGCGGCGCGTGGGTGAGCAGAAGCAAAGAGGACATTTGACCCCACCTTGGTCCATAGATATCCGCCTGAAAGGGAGGACAACAACGAAAAAGAGCCAAACTTTGGCCCTGTAAGTAAGCAAGACCTGCTGTTTTGCCCTCCTTCAGGGCGACTCTGGGTGTAGGGCGGCAGTGGCGTAGCAGAGAAGAGCCAGTCCAACCAAACCAACCTCAAACAACAACAACTGCAGCAGCAACAACACCACCACAAAAGGCTCAAATGAAAGCGATTCAGACCAACTCGGGGGGCTTCTTTCTCCGCCGGCTCGGCTCACTAACGACCCAGAGGTGTTAACGACCAAGAAGAGGCCGCCGCGGTGGCAAAACGGCGAAACAGAACGGCGGACAAAAGACGCAGCGCGAGAAATGAGCGAAAAACCGGAGCGAATCGGAGGAAAGCGCGCAGCGGCTCGCGTGCCGCCAATCAGAAACAAAACGGCAAAACGGCGCCTGCTTCACGGCTGTGTTGCTGCAGACCGACTCCGAGAGTCGCTATCGTCGCTCTGTCTCTCTCGCACTCATGGGGCGTGCCGTATGGGTGCGAGAGAGACAGAGCGACGAGAACGACTCTCGGAACCAGTCTGCCGCCGCTGCAGCGAGGCGGCCGGGGCGCGCATCGCCGCCACCGCGTGCGTGCACGTGCAGCAGCAGCACAGTGCCCTCGCGTCGCGCCGTCCCTCTCGCACTCGCGGGGCGTCGCGTGGGGGCGCGAGAGAGACGGAGCCGCACGGTGGCCGCGACGCCGGCAGCCAGGATGTGGCAACACGCGGCCTGGCCTCATACCGCACGCAAGCTCTCGTGGGCCGCCCCCTCCCCTCCCCTTCCCGCGCCATCCTCCATGGCTTCCGACCTGGATCGGATCAAGATGAGTGTGCCGGCAGTGGCGGTGCCGTCCCCCCCCCCCTTCCCGCCGTCCGGCATTGTGCACAAGGCTAGCGGCCGGCATTTGCACTAGAAGTAAGCCAGCCGAGCCTCGGCCGGCACGATTCCGCCAATTGGCCGGCGAGGTGTGAGGCGAGGCGCGCCGCGCAGCGCCCCGCGGCAGACTCAAGAGTCGTTCTCTCTCGCACCCACGCGGCACGCCCCATGAGTGCGAGAGAGACGGGGCGACGAAAGCGACTCAGCCTCGCGGACGGCGAAAGCCCGAGTCCGGCCAAGCCAAGCCGACTCCCGCCACCGCGACGGAAAGGAAAAGGGAAAAGAAGACGAAACAATGAGTTTCTTTATCACCCCTTTCCTC